AGAAAAATACTTAATAAATAAAAATTAAGGTCAGGTGCAGTAACACATGCCTATGATCCCAGCACTTAGAGAGGTGGAGGTGAGAGAATTGCCTGAGCCCAGAGGTTTGAGACCAGCCTGAGCAACTTGGCGAGACCTCGTCTCTACAATAAGTCAAAAAATTAGCTGGGCATGGTGGTACGTGCCTGTAGGTCCTGCTACTTGAAGGGCTGAGGTGGAAGGATCGCCTGAGTCCAGCAGATTGAGGCTGCAGTAGCCATGAGTGTGCAACTGCACTCCAGCCTAGGTGTCAAGAGTGTGACTCTGATTAAAAAAAAAAAAAAAAAAGGAAAGAAAGATCTGGAACTCTAATTGCTAACATGGGCAGACATTGGCAATACAGTATTTAGTGGGAGAAGCAGATGGCAGGGCAGGGTGAGCATTGTTTTGTAGAGATACGTATTTCTATGGGTAAAACACTGCAAGAGAAACAACAAAATACCAGCTGTAGTGTCTCGGTGGCAGTTCTGGTGATCGCGACTTTTTTTGTTTATTTATATTTGTACTTTCTAGTTTTTACAGGAATGACGAATGTAGGCATTGCATAACTACAATATGCACTTTGTGGACATTAGCAGAAAAACTAGTGACATGGAATGTCTGTAGTGTAGGTCACAGCATCGTACCAATGCTGACATCTTAGTTTCTGACAAATGTCTCATAGTTCCATGAGGTGTTAACATCAGGGAAGCTGAATGGAGTTCAGGAATGCTCTATTTTTGCAACTTGTCTGTAAATATAAAATGATCTCACAATAAAAATGCTTTAAAAAATACAAGTAAAACCTAAAAAGTAAGGACTAGGTTTTGGGAGTCAGGCAGACCTTTGTTCACCTGCCGCCTCCCTAGCTAGTGGTGTGCCGGAGTGGACCTAGGAGAGGTACTTATGACTTCGGGGAACCTGCCGTTAGTTGTTAGACACAGTCATTGTTAAACATTCATCTTTACAGATTTACAGTTAAATAATTATATTCAAAACAAAGGCAAGGATTACTTAAAACTCATCATTTCCCAGTTATTCACTGGAGTCGGTTCTTCTTATCCAAGGTAATCATGTTCTACAAAGTTGCAGCATTGGCCAGGTATGGTGGCTCAAGCCTATAATCTCAGCACTTTGGGAGGTCGAGTAGGAGGATTGCTTGGGCCCAGGAATTTGAGACCAGCTTGGGCAACATAGTGAGACTTCATCTCTACAAAAAAATAAAAGTTTATTTAAAAAATATATCTATAAAGTCACAGCAAACACTGAATTAGTGAGTACAATATTAGAATCCTTGCTCCTAGGGGAAATACAGGGGTAGGTTCCTGCGAGCCTGTGGTCACAATTGATCAATTTCTAATCTTGTCTTGTATGTTTCTGTTTAAAGACAGAAACATTTAATATATATTGATTCATAAACATTGAACTCACAGCCAACAGCACTATAACGCATGCCTGAAGGAAGTTTCTCTAACACACAGATTTCTCCATAAGGCTCATCAAAGCCTTCCCACACTTAGGATCACTGGGGGCCATTATTTATTAATTCATTTTAATTTTTTTTTGTAGACTAGGTCTCCTTATGTTGCCCGGGTTGGTTTCGAGTTCCTGGCCTCAAGTGATCCTCCCACCTCAGCCTCCCAAAGTGCTGGGATTACAGGCATGAGCCACCATGCTCAGTCCAAGGGCCATTTTAAACAGTGAGGTAGTCGGGCTTGGTGGCTCAGCCTGTAATCCCGTGCCTTTGGGAGGCTGAGGTGAGTGGATTGCCTGAGCCCGCGGGTTCGAGACCCGCCTACATCTCTACAATAAATCAGAAAAATTAGCCGGGCGTGTGCCTGTAGTTCCAGCTACTTGGAAGGCTGAAGCAGAAGGATCGCCAGAGCCCAGTAGGTCGAGGGTGCGGTGGCCGGAAGCGGCCACTGCACTCCAGTCTGGGTGATAGTGAGACTCCAACTCAAAAAAAGTAAAAATAAAAACAAAAATAAAATAAACAATGAGATTACCAACAAAAAGCACAGAAATGCAGAAAGTGTGGCAATCGATAGACTGCAAAAGGGACACTTGTTTGCAGTATGAGGCTATAAGAAGGTGGCAGAGGGTTGCTAGTTTGACCTCAGCTGAAAATGTGCACCCTGGACAACTTCAATTTTTCACCACTCTGCCCATCTCCAGAAATGATCATGAAAACATACTGAGTATTGATTTTGGGGTTGCAAAGACATGTTAGCAAGTAGTAAAATTCACAAACATGGAATCTGTGAATAACGAAGATCAAGTGTATATTTTACTATTATCTATGTTCTTGAGGTTATTTACCACCAATGTATCTATTTAGTGGAAATATAACTGTGCCACTGGGGTTCTCTTCCCAACTCTTGTGTGCAGTGATGTCATCCTAGTTGCCTGAAATTAGCCATGGGGGGGTATTTACACTACAGAAATTGGCGCATGCTATACACTAGGGCTTGATTTAAGAAAGTGTTGGGGGAAATGTTAACAAATGCAGATTAAACTTAAAACTGTGTCGAGTCTGGAGCCATTATGTTTTGAATAGCACAAAAAGTTGAGGAAGTAGTCTTCCAGCCGTCAAAAACGACTACCTGATTCAGCAAAGGAGTCACCTCATGACTGATGAACAAATGATGTTCTGACATCAATCATGGCTGTTTCAAATTCATCTTTATCATAAAAGATACAAAACAACAACATTCATGTCAGAGTTACACCCTTAGCAATTGCAACAGGCTGGCTATGGTGAAAATCAATCAAAGAGAACTTGCAACAGAGTATTATATTATTTCTTTATTACTGTAAGTTTACACACATTTATAACTTAAATGCATTCATTTCCAGAGAGCTGGCTTCCTAAGCAGACACACATGCACTGTTCCTAGCTGAAAGTCCTCAAATTACTTCACTACCAAGCCTTGACTTGGGTGTAAAACAGAAAAGAATATATCTTCTTAGCAACATTTTGAGAATTGAATGCATTATTGTTTCCAATACACTGTTTCCAGATAGGAAGTCCCTGGACCCTGGTTTCTTTCTCCTCACCCACTTCACCTGGAGGCTAGAACCAGGGAGGGGGGGATTCATTTCTGTGTCTTCCCAGACCAGCCCTGGGCCTGTGTCTGGACTCAACCAGCTTCTTTACAGGCCGGTGATGACTCACCACTAGGGGGCGTGAGCAAGATGCCTTTGTGATGGAATTGGTCCTTCAGACACTACAGCTGATTTGGAATACTGACATATTTTACTTTCCCAGTCCTCACCAGGCTAGAGAGAGAAGATACATGTGTAAAGTCTGCAATCACGGTGCTGTGTCCAGAGAATTCCAATCTGGCGATCATTGAGCCTCATTTTGGACAACTGTAAAATGAGTTAAACTTTATCTCCAGCAAAATCAGCTCCCCTTGGGCAAACCCACCTGCTTTGTCTTCTGAGATACCTGATGTGTCGTGACCATGGCTGGCTGCTCGACAGTTCCCATCATCATGGCCTTCCCAGGTAGGGCTCACCTAATAAGGAGTCAGAAAAGCACTTCTTCCCTGGCCTCATCCTCCTGCCAGGTCTGTTATGGTCAGCACTGCAATGATGTGTCATCTGCTTTGCACAGGTAACATGCGTCAAACGAGGCTCTCCTGGAAACCAGCATTTGAAGGAGGTCATTTCACAAGGAGCAACCTTAGGCAGAGTTGCAGATGGGTGACAGCAGAGAGGTCTTCCAGCGTCCTCCTCCCCGCAACCTCTCCCCCTCCCCTGTCACCTAGGCCTGGCCCTGGGTATTCTTGGAGGGACCACTTCCTTTTTCTTTTGAGAGGAGCTGACCAATGACATCTCCCTGGCATCTCAAGGGTACCCCTGCCACCTACTGGTGAGGTGCTCACTTCCCAGTGAATGGCACCTCACTTGTTAATTTCCAGGCTCCATCTGTTAGTTGTCCCACTGTTGGGAACTCTCTGAGTCATTTTCCCCTTTTGAAAGCCACCCCCTTAAAAGTGATTTTAACCCTAGTGGAAATTTCTAGGTGTCTGTGGGTGGTCTTTATAAGTCCAACAACCGCGTTTCAGACTGCCAAGGAATGAATGACAAAGTCCTTTTTTTTCCCCCCCAGTCAGGGTCTTACTCTGTTGACCAGGCTAGAGTTCAGTGGCATGATCATGGCTCATGGCAGCCTTGACCCCCTGGGCTCAGGTGACCGCCTCAGCCTCCTGAGGAGGCATGAACCACCATGCCTGGTTGGTTGTCTTATTTTTTAATTTTTTGTAGAGACAAGGTCTCACTATGTTGCCCAGTCTGTTCTCGAATGCCTGGGCTCAAGCAATCCTCCTGCCTTGCTTGAGAGTGCCGGGATCACAGGCGTGAACCACTGTGCCTGGCCAAATGACGAAGTCTTCATAACAATTTTGAAGCAGATAATGACACAGAATAAATCAGAATGACCACAAAACTATCACCATTTGAGAATGAAAATAATAAAAACCAGCCTGATAAGCTTCCTGCCTGCATGGAATTCACAAATAAATACTTTTGCAAGGAAGCTGTTGACTGTAAACCTAGCTGGTCTAATTTATTTCTGCCAGTCTGTCCAATGTCCTGACATCTCCATTAATAACTCTGATGAATAGTTTTACGTATCTGGGATGATTCTCACCATTCTAATGATATCTTCTCGAAGCTCTCCCAAGGTGGATCAATACTGAATATACAATATCAGTTTCTTGTAAAATGCAGACATCTCTGCTTACCTGACATACCACAAAATGTTACTCTGTGTTCTTGAATGAAACTAAAGACAAAGGTGGATTTTAAGGATTTTAACCCTAGTGGAAACTTCTAGGTGCCTTTGAGGTGGGTCTTTAAATTCAAGCCCCACAGGCCGAATACGTTTCAGATTGCCAAGGAATGAATGACAATGTCTTAGTAACGATCGTGAGTCAGCTAATGGCTCAGAATGAAATAATGTGACCACAAAACGGTTTTTCTTTTCTTCAGAGTTTATTTTGAATTTTTGTGTTTGGATAACCAAGCAGCTCTTTAAAGAGAATGCACAGAAGAGTCATTCTGGCACTTTTGGATAGTACATAAGATTTTTTTTTTAATAGTCACATTCGACCCACCTGTCCCGTCGTCCATATTCCCATGTTGGGTAAGCAAGACCCGTCCAGAGGATTCCAGAGTTAATACGTAACCGTATATACAAACAGCCAGTGAAACCCTGATGACGGCCACAGGGACGGGGCAGGGAAGGGCATCTCTAACGTGTCCTCTAGTCTATCTTAGCTAAACAGAACCCACGTTACACATGATAACTAGAGAGTACACTGTGTTGAAATGAAGATGCTAACCCCCCCAATGGCACTTGGCAGCATGCAGTTGGAAGAAGAGGGGTATCATAGTATAGCTTTATAAAATCCAGGCAGTTCAATGAACGAGGTTAAGAAAAACAAAGAAACAAAAAAAGCGAGGGACTGTCTGTTGTCACTGTAAAAAAGGCACTTGGAGTTAATGGGACCAGAATTGAAGGACTCTTAGCTGATAAAAAATTTCAGTATGATTTCATTAAAAGGCTTGCATGTTCCGAGATGACCCCAGGGAGTTCCTGAAGGGAGACGCCGAAATCAACCACTGAGAAGAACAGATGAAGACCAAGGAATACAATCTTTACGACCAAACTGTTTGGTTTTTTTTTTTTTTTTTTTTTTTTAATGGCAAACCCCCAGACAAAACCTAACCAGAGCAAAAGCTAAGCAAAAATCAGACAACGAAGCAGCGATGCATAGTTTTCCTTTGAGAGAACGCATACCTTGAGACACTAAGTGCCGACCGAATTTCTCAATCAAAGCTTCACAGTAGCATTATCGTGATACAAACTGATTCAAGCAATGCCAAAAGAGTTTCATCTGCTCCCAGAATCTGAGGGAGAACTGAGGTGATCGTTAGAGCGTAGCGACATCACGTGCGGTTTCTCAGTGTCCCTGGCGGCGGACACGTCGAGTTCCTTGGAAGGACACTGGACACGACTTTCAGCCACCTCCCGGGAGGGGCAGCGTCTGCCAAAGTCATCCTTTATTCTGAGCGATCACTTGCATTCCTTCCTAGCATTTACACAGCCAACCGCAATGCAGTGAGCAGCCGCGGGCCACGGTGGGGCGCGTCTTCCATCAGCAGGTGCGCGCTTCCATGAGAAAGGATATTTGGCAACGTTATACTCCACAGTCGGGTGGCTCCAGGACAGCTCACTTAATGTTGAATGCCATCAGGGGCCTCTCCTCCCGCTTCTGCCAGGGGCTCTTCTTGTCTTCTCCTTGGTCGTCGTCGTCATCTTCGTCTTCGTCTTCCTCGTGAGCAGATCTTCTCTGGTGTGGACTGGCCGCGGGCTCCGGCGGGGCGTCCGCAGTCCGTTTGGTCGTCTCCTCCTGCAGGCTGGGCAGCTGGCCGCCGCTTCGCCGAGCTGCCCCTTCCAACAAGCATCGCAGGGCACTGTCCTCGGGGGTGCAGACTGTGGTCCCACACTCGCTGCCGCTCTGCTCCATGTCGTCCAGGTACACGAGCTGCGTGTAGGCGCTGCTGTCCGGGGCCCGGGGCTCCTTCTGCTGGTGCTCCTGGACAGGTGGGTAGCTGGGCTGCAGGGACAAGGCGTCTCCTCTTCCCTTCCGCGCAGATTTGGGTTCGTTCATGTCCACACCAGAGTCCAGACTGGCATCATTGCTTCCGTTTCTCCCAGCTCTTTGGAGGTCAATGTACGAATGTCTAACGTGGGCGTTGGACCTGCCGTCCAGGGAGACGAACCACGCCCGGGGGTGCGGAAGCGGCTTCCCACCCCCAAGTTCCATCAGCGCCTTCTCGGTCAGGAGCTGCACCTCGCTGTTCATCTGAGCCAAAGCCGCGTCGTTCAGGGAGGCTGGGATGGAGAGGGACTCCGACATGGACGCGTTCTGAGGGCTCCACTCCCGGGCGCCTGCGTCCTGCAAGTGCTGCTGAGAGATGGCCTGGGAGGACAGGGGCTGCGGCTGGATCTGCGAGGACGCGTGTGGGAAGAGCCCCGCGTGGGGGTTGGAGAGCTCGGCCTGGAGTCTTTCTATCTCAAGCTGCTGACCAGCAGGCATGACCAGAGGCTGGCTCACATAGGAGTGGTCCCCCGGGAGTTTCATATAATGAGCGGGGATGACCAAAGCGGGCAACACTTTCCTGTAAACGCTGTCATTGACCTGGTCGACAGAGCTGCAGCAGATCAGCTGGCCCGGCCGCGGGAAAGATGTCGGTCTCTCGAGGTGATCTACTGATCGCGACATCATACATTCAGTAGGCCTGCGGTCCAGCAGCTGCTCTTTCTCAGGAGATGAAGGTGCGGGGTACAGATGCTCCTGAATGGCGAGCTTACTACCTGTGGAGCCTGGATTTTCTCGGTCCTGCTTTTCAAATAAAGGCTGCGAGAGCACAGTATTGTAACTGCCCCTGTAGTCATCGTTGGCGGGGGACTCATAGCCTTCTCGTTCTAGGGATTTCCTTGTCTTTAAGGGAAAAGTCTCCACTGACTTGTGGTAGTCTCTCCCCAAGGTCCCGCTTGGCGTCAGGTTATCAAAGGAGATTTGGCTTTTGTCCTCTTCCTTGTGAGAGAGGAGCTCCTCCCGAGAGCTGAACTCCTGGGAGGTGCTGTAGGACAGCTTGAGCATGGGCGTGTGCAGGTCTCCCTCGCCATTGGGGGACATCATTTCCAAATGGACCCCACTCATCAGTTCCTTTGGGCCCGGGGCCTCTGGGCGGCCATGGCTGGTGACAGACAGTGGGCCTGGGAATTCTGACGCCCGGCGAGAAAACAGCAAGTTGATGTGCGACATGGAAGTGGACTGGTCCCTTTTGGAACTCTCGAGGGCTGCAGGAAGCTGTAGTTTTCTGTGGTGCTGGCGAGGTTTCAAGCATTTCCGCCTGTGACCAAAGACACAAGTCAAACCCAGAGGTTAGAAATTCTCAGGACGGAAACGATTCGGGTTTCAGGTAAAAATCCTAATTCTCAACTGTCATGGGAGAAACAAGACAAAACTAATCGACAGCCAGAAGCCTTCTCACCCCACACCCTGTCCTTACTTTAATCCAGAGCAGCATGATTTGGATATTTCATCCTTAGGCTTCTGTAAGCCCAGGTATTAATTCAAAAGGGATTACTCAAGAATGTACAATAAACATTCTTGGCCGGGCATGGTGGCTCATGCCTGTAATATCAATGCTTTGGAAGGCCAAGGCGGGAGGATCGCTTGGTGCCAGGAGTTTGAGAACAGCCTGGGCAACATAGTGAGACCCCATCTCTACAAAAAATAAAAACAATAAGAAAAAATTATTGTAAACTGAACAGATGTGGCATCAAAATAATAATAGTTCCTGCTCTGCCCTCGAGAGTATCACCTCTTAACCAGTGATTAGGAATATTCTGAATGAATCATATGATAATTATTACATTTTTTTACTATAACTCCCCTTCCAAGCAATGTTACCCAGCATGCTTTACATATACCCTGTTGGTTCATTTGCAACTTGGATCACAAATCTGAGTTCTTAGATACTTCTTCATGAAAAGAAAAAGTACAATTCCGAAAAAGGAAAGAAAAAAAAAAACCCCCTCCATATCATTGCTTCCAAATATCGATTGCACAAGAGATTCTAAATTAAAAAAGATATTGCCAAAATGGTAACACTTTACCTGCAATAATATAAAAGGAGACACAGCAAAACCAAAAGTATGAAAGCCATTCCTCCTAAAATGGCCAAAAGAAACACCGTGTGATACGTGGTAATGTCCTGTGTAACAACGGGACCTAGAAGGTCAGAAAATGGCATTTTAGATTTTTAAAAAAATACCTTTAAATAAAAAGAGGGATCATTCATTGAGAACATAATGTCTTCTTCCTACTTTTCTTGGTTGGGGCATGAGGAAGTGTACACAGGAAGATACCCTTGGATGGTGTGCTTGAGGGACCACCATCATTTCATTCAGTGATGAACACAACTGTTATGGACGCTTCTGTGGTTGGCAGCACTTTGAAGAGTCAACAAATAGGAGCTGTGATTCTGTTGGGGTGGCCCTCCTTAGCCAAGAAGAGAGTATAATGTTCTAAATACATGATTTTTTTTTTTTTTTTGAGTTGGAGTCTCACTCTGTCGCCCAGACTGGAGTGCAGTGGCCGCTCCCGGCCACCGCAGCCTCGACCTGCTGGACTCCGGCGATCCTTCCGCCTCAGCCTTCCGAGTAGCTGGAATTACAGGTACGTGCTACCACACCCAGCTGATTTTTTGATTTACTGTAGAGATGAGGTCTTGCTGCCCAGGCAGGTCTCGAACCCGCGGGCTCAGGCAATTCACTCACCTCAGCCTCCCAAAGGTGCGGGATTACAGGCTGAGCCACTGAGCCCGGCTTAAATACATGATTTTTAAAAAAGAAAATGAATGCATGATAATATAACATTCAGAAAGAGGGTCTACCTGGAAACTATATTTCAAGGAAAAAAAAAATCACTAGATTTTTATTCTCACTTTTCCTGGGCAGTCAATTATTACTATGTGGTGAGCTCTCTGCCCGAATGAATCAGTTAAAATGCATGACATAAATTTTCTGACTTCAAAAAAGTCAACAACTTACTACAGGGGTGTCAAGTGTGACTAAAATGCTTTCCATTTTTAAAAGTAAAATCTTCCTCTACAATCCTTTCTCAAAATAAGCTAAACTTACATGGCTACGAGTCTCTTTACAACTTGTAGATAAAGTTACCAGAGATACATTATCTTAAAATATTATCTTTTAATTTTATTAAAAGAATCATATTCTTTTACATTTACATTGTAGAGAATCCCAAGAGGCAGCTTAACTCAGATTCTTTATGTTTAGTAGTTGCATAAATTTATCTCAATGTTATTGACAACAGATTGACCACAACAAAAACCTTCCCAAATCACAATATTCGGGCACTTATCAGTGTCCAGTTATGCTGGTGGTATACCGATACATGGAAAGAAACAAACTGTGGTTTCCCATTATTTCAGAGTAGCATGGTTAAATCTAAATTAAACATCTATTTGCTTATTTTTATTTTTTGATATCCTAGGGGATAGATTTCTTAAATCTGTCTAAGAAGACAAATCTCTTTATTTAAGAGCTATATAGAACCAAGGAGATTTTCCAGTGTTTGAAAATAGTGTTATTACTTAGGTTAAAAAAAAATGACATTATTCTCTTTCAAGTATAATTCACTTCAGTGGAGTGGGAGAATGGGTTAAAGTTTACAAACATTGGAAAAAATAACTGACAACTTTATTTGTTCAGAAAAACAATTTTAAAAAAAATACAAAGACAAACTCCACAGACATAGCAAAGGCTTGTTAGGAGTCACCAAGAAATCTGGGGGTACACACAGAAGTCATTTTCAAATGGCTAAAACTTGGTCCTGAAAGTATTTTAAGTGCCATTGTTTTAATCTCTGCCAGTGGAATTCTTTTTTTTTCTCTATAAGGAACACTTCCCAAGCCAGTGGAATTCTTTATAAAATTCACAGTTACACTTCTTTCTTAGAGTTAAAAGCTAAAATCCTAATTATCTTCTTGTTGGTTTTGGGCTCACGAAAGCACAGCATCACTGTAATTTGTTTCAATAAAAGTGATAGTTGTAAGGTTACCACCATATGTAATCCCACATTAAATACCATCAGGGGCAGCACTGTATGCTTTTTATAGCGTTGCGTCTTTTCCTTCATTGCCAGGAAACTCCAGGGGGACCTGGGTCCAGCAGTCTTTTCTTCCCATCGAACAAAGGCATATACTGATTTACTACATGATGGGAAAAGTGATAGCCACGGTGGTTTGAAATACAACCTAACATTAAAGTTCATTTTAATGCATGGGCTTTCTGACCTCTAGTTTGATACGTAAATAGTTTATTTCCCTTTCTTTAAGTCATATTCTAGACATCTCAGATTTGAAGAATGGGTATTTCTATACCTGGCTTATGCTTTTATTGCTACAAAAACAACACCATCAAGGGAGATATATACTCTTAAGACACAGATGTGAAGTGTACATTTTCTTATAAAGTCAATTGGATGCGTTTTTCAACACCTATCTAGGTTCATCAATTCAGTTACTTTGGGAGTCCAAGTGCTAATTCCATTGCTAAAAAATATTTTGAACTTTCATTTTGGAATTGCCTTCATGGTTAAATTTATTTTATTTTATTTTATTTTATTTTATTTTTTTTTTTGAGTTGGAGTTTCACTCGGTCGCCCAGACTGGAGTGCAGTGGCCGCTCCCGGCCACCGCAGCCTCGACCTGCTGGGCTCCGGCGATCCTTCCGCCTCAGCCTTCCAAGTAGCTGGAATTACAGGCATGCGCTACCACGCCCGGCTGATTTTTTGATTTATTGTAGAGATGAGGTCTCGCTGCCCAGGCGGGTCTCGAACCCACGGGCTTAGGCAATCCACTCACCTCAGCCTCCCAAAGGCGCGGGATTACAGGCTGAGCCACCGAGCCCGGCTCAATGGTTAAATTTATAAGAGATGTATCGTAATCATGGTATACTTTGACCTAACTCAATAATCTACTTTATTTACCAGTCTTGGATGTGTATGACTTTTAGATGTGTGAAAAAAGAAAAAAAGGTAACCTCTGAGCGTAAAGATTTGCCGTCAATGAAGAGATTCACTAACGAAGGCAGCTCAAGTCATGCTGATTCTAAAGGTATCTCATGCAATGGGAAGCCCTTGCTGGAAATAATTCTCCTGAGATGACTATTTTGAAAAAAACAACACTGGAATAATTATTGGGGGGTCTTATAGGCTAAAAAAAATGAGCTTATTCATCACATTCTGAAAGATATGAGTTAATGCACAGATCCTAAGTAGAGACAACGATGCTTTTAGACACAAAACCAGCTGGTTTGCCTTTAAGCCTTTGGAAATGCCCCACCACGTTTTCTTTGGAAATGCCCCACCACGATGGTGACTTGCTGCTAGTGCCTCCACTTAGCCTTACATGTTCTCTTACACCAGGCCACAGCTGTTTCAGGAATTAGGGAGGAGGTCTTACTAGCCTCTGTGGGCTTTTGGTTAAAATTCCCTATGGCAGCTGTCTGAGCAAAACAGGGCCACGAGACAAGACTATTTCCTATACATTATTCTTATCCTAGATGGGAGAGTTCTAACCAGAACTCCCCCACCCTCACAAAATACCTCCTTGACATCATTTTGTTTTCACACTTTTAACCATTGTGAATAAGATGTGATCGTCTTGCTAAAAGTTATTTCCAAAAGCATATTTAGCCTGGACCCTCAAAGACCAAAGAAATCAATCTGCAATAATCGCAAGTGATGGCTTCATGTTACCTGGGATGGGAGGGGACATGGCTGCTACCCAGTACCCCAGCTGGGGGGCAATGTACGTCCACGTCAGCTGGCTGCCCTCCTGGTGCACAAGACCCAGACCACTCTTCAGCCACGTTCCTGTGGGATTCACAAAGGAACTTTAGTGATATGCACACTAAACTCCTAGGTAAGGCTCAAGTCTATTGCAAAAGTCACCTTAAATGTCACGTGTCTAACCCATAAGACAACCAAGATGGCCAAATTGTGATCTAGGGACCTCAGACTGCTTTCTGCAGAAAGTCTTTGCAATTTCCCTTCAGAGAAAAGATGAGTAACTTGAGTGTTTCTTTGCCTTCTTGGTTAAATTACTCCTAGCTACTTTATCAACTATTTCCTCCTTCCAAACACAGATCATTTTAGCAGAAGCCTGTGGAGTTCAGAAGCAGAACACACATGGGGCAGCATGACAGGGGCTAGTGGCAGTAGAATAAAGGAGAGGAATCCAGCTCTATCCATGTTCAAAGCATATTGCCTATCCTGAATCACAGGCTATATACTGGGGGGTGCCAAGAAAATGGATACACATTTTAAGCGATGCTATCTATGTATTACTTTTTCAAAGTTGAATGGAATTACAGGAGCCATGTATAGTATGATGTTCGCTTAAAAGATTGGGCTAATCTTTTGTTAATGGTATATAGTGAGTATTACAATTTTAGTAGTTTTTCCCTTTTTTAAAATGTGTCTACATTTTTGGGGGGCACCCTATGTATATCTGAATTACCTAGGGATATTTTTAAAAATATACAGAGTCCTTGATCCTATCTTTGTAAATTTTGGTCAGTTACCTTGGCTTGAGTATTTTAAAAAGCTTCCAGTTAGTTCTGATGCTGGGGAACACCGAATAAGTCAAGGTCTAGGCTCTGTCTTCCAGGTATTTTAACTAGTATTTAACATTAATGAACACCCGTTAGGTACTAGCTATCTGTAGTGTACGTGTCTTTGAATACATGATCTATAATTCTCACAGCAACCCTACAGAGTAGGACTTATTTTCCCTTTTTGGATGAGAACACTGAAGACTGGCAAGTTAACACATTTTCCCAAGGCCTCTGGGTGGTAGAGAGCCAAGCAGGGACAGAACTGAGGGCTGTCTGACCTCAAGGCTGGTGTTATTTCTTCCGCCCAACCATGCTGCATTGAACAATAAACCTTTCCAGGCTTTGACTGCACCTTTATGTTGTGAAGTGTCTAGGAGCAGATTCACTGAAGATTAACTTGCCCAAGGTTGTCAGGCTGATTCAAAGCCAAAAGTGGACACCTTTCACCGGGCTCACCTGCTCACCCTCAGACAGCCTCCCCCTGAGGCCTGTGGTGGCAGCTGCGGGCAGAAGACAAGGGTGAGGCTGGCTGAGCCCCACCACAGTTCACACACACCCACCTTGACCCACCAGCCCAGAGGCACGCACATATGAGGCTCCTGCATGGCTTGTCCTGCTCCTATAATCATCTCTACCTGAAATGACCATGTGGGTGATCCTATAGCACTCAATGCCTAAATGGACACGCTATGCACCCGATATATCGTTTAACAATGGGGATACATTCTGAGAAATGTGTACAAGCATCAAGAGTGGAGTGTATAAGCATCAAGAGTGGAGTGTACTCATACAACCCTAGATGGTGTGGCCAACTACACACCCAGGCTAGATGATCTAGCCTATTGCTCCTAGGCTACCAACCTGTACAGCGTGTATTGCAGGCAACTGTAACACGTGCAGGGTATTTGTATATCTAAACATCTCTAGGCATAGAAAAGGTATGGGAAAAACAGAGTTGTAACCTCATGGGATCATGGTTGTATATGTGACCTGTCATTGACCCAAGCATCACTATGCAATATGTGACTGTGGTCCACCCCCCCACCCCCATCTCCAAATGCTTGCCTCTCCTAGCTATACGCATCACGGAGGTAGCAATAGGGGATGTTTTTCCCCCTGAAGAAAGAAACACCACTTGAGCTGCTTTGAAGCCTTATCAGTTGCCATGGCAACATTCAAATGCAGTGGGCGGAAAGGTGCCCATGGAAATGCCTCCCATGGCAGCCCCTCCCCTCTCACATGGCAGCTGCACAAAGGGGGAAGGTGGGAGGGGCCAGGCATCAGCGAGGGCCTAGTTCCCTGACCTTCCCATGCCATGGATGATCACCGCCCTGGATGATTTGGGCTCAAGTTGGAGCAGAACCTAAGTGAGAGGGTTTCTAATGTGAGTATGAGAGTGAGGATGCCCAGTTCAGATCCAGTTCTTGAAGTCCAGAGATGGTGTAGTGGCTCAGAGGATCACTTAGTTCCACAGGGAAGGCTTGGCACATTAACAAAAAGGGTTTCTCTGCTGGAAAGAGTTTCCCTGAGGGTAGAAAGTGGCGTATTTGCGTCTGCTTACAGTACCTCCTCTGGGCTACGTCTGGCTCCTGCTCAGCTCATACTTACATACCACGTCCACGCCCATGTGCTGGCCCACAGCAGGGTACTGCCAGCATCTCTGCATTGGCCAGGAAGAGGCTGTGCATTCTTCGGTTTGCAGTTTCCCCCAGATTGGACTCTTGAGTCACTGCTCATCAAATGGAGCAGATATGAGGTTAGGTGGCACGGGGCCCAGAGGATAAGAGCTGGAAGCTCAGTCCTAAGTCCGCTCATTCAGGAGTCAACACCCACCTTTCTCCCCAAGTTGCCCTTACCTTCTACGAGAAAATCAATGGAAGGAGCCTTTTCAAATATCTCTATGTTGTATTTAGGACAAACCAAATGGGCGGACCCCTCTTCCCCAACAAGTCCCCCAGTGGAGCCCGGAAGGCCCACAGTGGGGTGGATATCAGAAAGGTCACCAGCGGAAGAAGACACAGCTGCTTTGGGAGTCCAGCAAGGAACAGTGTCTCCTAGGGTAGGTGGAGAAGGCTTGGGATGAGTTTAGCATGGATGAACAGGCAGGGGCTAGTGATGGGGAGGGGCGAGGGCCAGGGGAAAGAAGGAGAGGACATGTGGGCAAAGGGGACAGCATGCACAGAGGTGTGAGCAGTGGGCATGGAAGGGCGAGGGGGAAGGAGCAATTGGGCCAAGAAAAGGATTTAGAGTCTGCCCAGGAAGGGCTTCCCCTGGAATGAGCAATAGAGGCCACCAGGACCCTGGAAACAGCACACGTGGTCACAGCTCTTCCTGTCTCCTGACCCTACCACCTCCTTGCCTTTGCTTAGTCCTTGCTGGGTCAGTCCTCACAATACACATTTTGATCCAAGTCTGAGACTTTGCCTGCAACATGACTCCAATTTCATGTTTTTCTCTCTTCCTTTTTTTTTCTTTCTATTTTTATTTATTTATTTTTTAATGTTAAAGGTGTGGGGTACAATTCAGTATTAGGTATACGAGCGGTCCTTGTACAGGTAAAGTGTGTGCCTCCCTTTGGTCCCCACTTTGCTTGGTTTGAGATCAGGTACCCTTATTGATGTTATGTGTTCCATCCCCCACTCCCTGACAATGACCTGCTACTGCCAATCCCTTTTTTATAGTATTATGGCAAATGTTCAGGGTCTGCTAATGAGTGAATGTTTTTCTCTCTTCTAAAAATCTACCTGTTGGCTGAGTGTGGTGGCTCACAGCTGTAATCCCTGTACTTTGGGAGGCCAAGGCAGGAGGATCACTTGAGTCCAGGAGTACAAGACCAGTCTAGGCAACAAAGCAAGACCTTGTCTCTACCAAAAAAAAAAAAAAAATCAGAAAATTAGCCAGGCATGGTGGTACACGCCTGTAGTCCCAGCTACTTAGGAGGATGAAGTGGAAGGATCACCTGAGCTCAATAGGTCAAGGCTGCAGTGAGCCATGAGTGTGCCACTGCACACCAGCCTGGGTAAAAAAGTGAGACCCTGACTCAAAATAAACAAACAAACAAACAAACAAATCTACCTGACTTTCAAGATTCAAATCAAGCCACGTGTTTTCCAGAGGCCTTTTCAGTACATGTGGATATTCCACATCTGGGCACTCCTTAGGGTAAAGGTCACTGCATCCTTTACCTTCCAAAAACATGTGTTGCCTTCAGTGGCTAACCTGTGGTTCTAGGCCTTATCTCTCCTACTGGACTTTAAGCCTGTCTCATATTCCTTTTGTACTCTCCTCAGCCCCTAGAAATATCCATGAAGTACTTGATAGTACTTCAGCATGAGTGAAAGCTACAGGCGCAGGCCAAAAAATAACATCACTAACCTTCTGTGAAAGGCCGGGTGGGGTCGGCAGGAAAGAGATCCCTGCGGAAGCATGACTGAGATTGGGACAGTGCCCTTTCACACTAAAGGGAACAGAGCCAGCTGGGGAAGAGGTGAAAGAGACTGAAGTGTGACACTCTTTTGGGAATTGACAATCTGGCTGTTACTGGCAAACAAAACAAAACTTCTAGCTTTCTGTGTTTTGTGGATAAAATAAGCCACAGGGAATACAAGAATGGACGAACTGTGTACTAGAAACACATGCCTCACAGTACTGCAATCCTGATGCAGCTGTGGACAGGCATGGTTCCCCACTGAAGGAGCAGGTGCCAGGGCTTGGATTCTTTACTGGTGATACCAAGACAGAACAAACCAACCTCTGTACGGTCTCTTCTGTTGAGTAAGTTACGGGTTTGCGGGTGCTGCGAGCAGGGAGCGAGCCCTCTCCTCACGTGGGGGGCCACAGGCACTGCTCAGAGCAAGGGAAGGACCAGGTTGCTTCTGCCGCATGGACCACAGAAAGTTCCAGCTGCAGGGTTTCTAGCTTGTCTCTGCCCCTTGCCCACCTGCCCCTGGGTGTGGCCAGCCCCGGGATGCCTCAGGATGATCTTTGGGCAAGACATCTGCTGAAGCTTCTCTCCTTGTGGTGTGATTCAGAGCAGCCCTAATGTCACGATGACAGCCGCCTGCTCAGACCCACTTCCTTCTGAGTTTTTCTCTTTCTGCCCTTCCCCAGCCTCCTCCAGGTACTTGCCACTTCCCCTCAGGGTCCTCTTCACAAGCAGGCAGTTGAGGTAACTGCTGGGATGTGTGGACTCAAGGTGGGGTCATCTGGTGAAGACAGGCAGGACCCTACACCTCCTTCTGTCCCGCCCCATGGCCCGGCCAGGTTGCTGGCTTCATCCAGCAAAAGCCGTACCACTGAGGCTGCGCCGACCTGGCTGTGGAGTAGGGACCTCAGGAGTCAGCTGGGTGACATGTGCCTCTCTGCCCCGACAAAGGCCTGTGGCCACGTCTATCACTGTGTCTGTGTGTGTGTGTGTGTGTGTGTGTGTGTGTGTGTGTGTGTGTGTGTGTGTGTGTGTGTGTGAGGTTACAGGGTGATGTCTCTGGTGGCATTAAGGAATGAAATTCTACATTACTAAAATTTTTAGATCACTGGTTTTCAAATAGTTTTTAAAGCATTTGTAGTCTTTTTCTTTAATGGAAACTTAAGCAGAAACAAATACATAAAACAGATTAAAAAAAAAAGTAAGGAACTCTGCATGAGAGTGAAGAGAAGCCCCTTCCAAGGCAACCCCCCAGGATAACTTTCTGAACAGACTGTCTGGAAGCTACTTTTCTATATAACTTAAGTCTTTTTTGCCAAAAATTGAAAAGGAAGCTTATGAAAATTCTAAAACATATCATTTATTCCTGCCTTACAAAAGTGAATGCAATTTGGATTTTTCTTGATAATTCAGGGTCATGAATTACAATCAATTACAATGCTGGGTTCTGACATATGGATGCCCTTAAGAATACAGAGGTTAACATTATGGAGTTGTTTGCTCTTATGCTAAACACTCCTACTTTCCCTTATGTGTGATTTTCTTTCTGAGGGCTTTCTGTTACTGGTGATCTGCTATCAGTTCTGTTCCTCACCACCCCCCACCAATCCCCCAGTTTCCCTCCTAGGGTCATATGCTACCAGGAATCAGACAACCCACCTTATCATAGCTGTGTCTAAAAAAACACAGGCAGCATGAGGGACAGAGAACACCAGATGTGGAACAGTGGTATCCTGAACCCGAATCCAGGATTTTTTTGTTGTTTTGAGTTGGAGTGTCACTCTGTCATCCAGGCTGGAGTGCAGTGGCATGCTCAGGTCACCCTAGCCTCGACCTGCTGGGCTCAGATAATCCTTCTGCCTCAGCCTTCCAAGTAGCTGGAACTACAGGCGTGTGCCACCATGTCCAGCTAATTTTTTGATTTATTGTAGAGACAAGGTCTCACCAAGTTGCCCAGGCTGGTCTTGAACCCCTGGGCGCAGGCAATCCTCTGGTCTCCGCCTCCCAGAATGGCTGGGATTACGGGCCTGAGCCACCATGTCCAGCTTTGGGATACATATATATGGTTTTTTTTTCAATACCACATGCTGACATTCGCCTTTGCCTGAATTATTATGCTTTAGAGTTTACCTTTCAGAGATATTTTCAAGAAGAGATCATTTGTTGAAATATCATCTGAATTTTTTGAAAATGAGTCAGTTATGCCTTTAGCACAATGGCAAGGCTCACTGCATTCTTAATTTGGAAGCTACATTTAACTACAGGGATTATCACACATAATAACTGACAGGCTGGAAAAGATATGCCTCCTGCTCGCCTGTCATCTGACAGGGTCTCCCAGCAGTCACCAAGGAAGCTGCTTTTGTGCTTGGTTACCAAGCAATGGTGATATCAACTTCTGTTTGCAAAATATAAAGAAAAGTGAGTTCAAAAATTTAACACATGGCTAATAAAAGGGAAGAGAATTCTAAAATATGAAAAAAAGGGTCCAAAATACATCTAATTTGAATACAACCTAAGGAGACTAGAGCTCCCTTGCTTTTCCTGCCTGGCACATTTATTCTGCTGGAAAACCCTTCTGTGACAGGATAGGACCCTTTCTCAATATTGGGTAACAAGCAGAAGGATCTGACACTAGGAGCACTATTGATTTTGAAAAGAAAACTGTCAGTGAAACTCACACATTAACGGGGTATACACAGGAGTTGATGCCTAGCCAAGCAGCTCTTATAAAGCAACACACGTCTCTGGTTTACGGTGAGATCTGTGATCATGTCAGACCTCAGAACACGGGGCAGGTAACGCCCAGCGCCATAAAGCGTTCACAGACCACACCACTTTCCTGGCATGAGATAATCCTGAATGTTATATTCCAACTTTGCCACTTCTAGTTGTGTGCACTGAAGACATGCTGAGGAGGATACAGAAGAGGAACTGCACATCCCTTGCGACATCACTGAGCCACTAGAGCAATCCCGGTGCTGCCTGTGTCACGTTTCCCTTGTCATGTAGACAGTAACCAGCCTCGTCACTTAAACACTTGTGGTTGGGTGTTCCACTTCTTACAGCTAATGTATTCTGACATAGTTTTCCTGAAAGTGGCTGGAGTAAGGTATGCTGGGTCTACAAGCTGGGACTCAGGAAGGAATTCCACAGCCACTCAGAAATCCCATCCCACTTAAAAGGCAATTACTGACACCGTCCACTTCCATACCCACACCTTTGGGAACACTTATGCTGAGAGGGGCAGTCACCTGTGTTGAAGTAGGCAATGGACGTGGCCAGCAGGCAGCGGCTTCTCAGCTGTGGGCCATGCCCCATCACCAGCTCGCTTGGGCTGTGCTGGTTCTGGCTCACTCATCTGCACGGAGTAAGCATTCGATAGCTCTGGGCAACGACCTTCTCAAGAGGTATGCACCTCTTGGATCTATGGCCAACACTCATCATCGTTGTCATTGTCACAATCCCCAAGACCTTCTCAGATCATCATCATCATCGGGCCTTCCCAGATTCCCTAATGTGCTACATGTCTCTAGAAACCAGTTAGCTTACTTTTCAAGGCTTTCATCTATATTATCTTAAGATACGACCTCTAATTTTCTAGCAATTGTACACAAACAAGTATTAAGGCCTAAGTCTACTGTATTGTGTGATTTAACAGAACTGGTACAGGATTACATTAAAATCAAAATATAAAAATCCATCAGCCCTTAAACTACTTTCATCAATAAGGCAGAAATAGTGACAATTTCGACATTTAAGACATCATCAGGTAGCCACCGCCCCCCTTTTTAAAAAATTAAAATCTAAGGCTTTGAATAGCTAGGTTCCCTTCTTTGAAATTATTTTTCCATGAGCTCTCTGTGAGGAGTAAACATTCCTTGTTAATTATATAGCAAAGCATTTGCCCGATGGCAATTATCTAATCATTCTTGTTGAAAGCAATCAAACTGAAGGGCAAAAGTTATGTGCAGATGACTGGATTCTTGTAGCTTTGGGCAAGTACATTTCAGGACTGTTTTAAATAAGAATAAAATTAAGGGCAACTCTCTATTACCAATGACCTTCTGTTCAAGGCATGAAGTCATAGATATGTTGAATATTTAGAAATTAAAATGATGATTTTGTATTCAGCTGCAACATATTCTCTGGTTATTTTTAGGGTAGTTTTCAAGAAAGAGATTCTTAAAAATAAATTTAATCTAAGCAACTGATTTTTTTTTTCCTTTAAGCTTTAGCTGAGCTATCACAAGACTTACTGAAACAAGTTTTAGGAAAGACACAGTTATGGGAAGCCATAAAGATTCTGGCAGACTAATAGAAAGCTTATGCCTTAAATAGATAGCCAGAAGTACTAAGATACATAATGGTATTGATAAAGTTTAATGAGAGAATTTTAAACTTATAATCAGTATATATAAATTTCCAGAAAGCAGTATCAGTGTGTGAGCCCCATCTGGGGAGGAATTTTGTTCACTGCCTTCTAAGTCCAATACTCATCTTGCAATTACATGTCAGCAGAATCGGGTGGGGCAAGCAGACTAGGATGTGGGTGGCACAGTCATCAGTCCCCAGTATTAGAAAAATCACTCGGAATAAAGGCTAGCATAACAGAGAAAAAAAATTTTTCTTTAGATACGGTCTCATTCTATTGCCTAGGCTGGAGTACAGTGGTGTGATCATAGCTCACCACAGCCTCGAACTCTTGGGCTCAAGGAATCCTCCCACTTCAGTCTCCTAAGTAGCTGGCACACACTACAGCAGGCTATTTTTTTTTTTAAGAGACAGAATCTTGCTGTTGCCCAGGCTGGTCTCAAATCCCTGGCCTCAAGTCATTTTCCCTCCTCAGCCTCCCAAAGCGCTGTGAGCCACTACACCCGGCCCCATCAAGGAAGTTACAAACATCTGGAGAGATGTAGTTGGATGCTCCCAATCTGTGTTTGCTGAAGAGCTTGTTAACATGGAGATCTTGGGAAGAGTGGATACTGATCTAGCACGTCTGGGGCACAACCCTGAGTGTGTAGGTTTTTGTTTTTTGGTTTTTTTGAGTTGGAGTCTCACTCTGTCGCCCAGGCTGGAGTGCAGTGGCACGCTCACGGTCACTCCAACGTCAACCTACTGGGCTCCGGCAATCCTTCCACCTCAGCCTTCCAAATAGCCGGAACTACAGGCGGTACAGGCATGCACTGCCGGCTAATTTTTTAAAAGAAATTTATTGTGGAGACGAGGTCTCACCAAGTTGCCCAGGCTGGTCTCGAACCTGCGGGCTCAGGCAATCCACTCAACTCAGCCTCCCAAAGTGCTGGGATGGCAGGCTGAGCCACTGGGCCTGGCCCTGAGTGTAGTTCTAACAAGCGCTGCTGCCACTCCTTTGGCCACTCTGCTCACTCCGAGAAGCAGCACTCAGTTATCTGCCCTTTTCTGGGAACGGGTCGCTGATTGCAACTCTTTCAGAAATCCCTGATGCCATTTCCCACAATGTGGTCGCAGTGCATCGACTGGGTGGCCAGTGCTTGAAACATTTCTGATATTGTCAGATGACAGGCCAGGGGCCAGCAAACTCATATGCCTACACAGATGCCATTGTGTCCTTGTTAAGAGGGAAAGTGCTATGTAGTGACTAGGCTGGTTCCAAGCTTGAGATGTCTGCGTTAACCATTCTTGAAGCTCACGTTGTTCTGACCCTAAGATAAGATATTCCCACACTGGGCTCATGGGTATCTTTTGGGTCTCAGCTTGAATGTCACCTTCTCCAAAGGCTCTTACCAGTCACTCTCTCTAACATCATTCTGCTTATCTGTTTTGCAGTACCTAAGCCATCTGAGGTAAACTGGTTCACTGTCTTGTCTCCTTCTAGAACAATAGTTCCATAATTATACATAATTACAGGATTCTTTCCTGACTTGCTTTGCCATTGCTTTATCCCAAGAGCCTACTACAGAGTCATGTCTGGCATGAAGAAGATGTTCAATAAATATTTGCTGACCAAATAAATGGTTCGATTTTTCCCCCCCAAGAGAAGCCAGAAATAGAATTCCATGGGATATCTTCCCATTTTCTAATGTTGGCAGTAAGTTCAAACACAACAAATAAATATCCCCAAACCAAATGGATGGGCCAAACAAAACACATCTGGGAACGGGTCGCTGTTTTGTATTCCCAGATGGGTTCATTATTCTATTAAGCCACTTTAAGTCTTGGCATTGAAGCAGGGACGCACACAACTCTGATATGTTAGAAAAGGAAGGGGATTTGGAGTCTGAAGGAAATCATGCTTTGTGCTCCCCTTCTCTGATCCTTAGGCTGTCCAGTGAGCATGTGGAACTGTGTCTGGCTTCAGTTTCTTTTTGATAAAGAAAGATGGTAGTCCCCTGCCTCCCGGGATTTATTTTTTTTTTTTTTGAGAATAAGATGAAAAATGTCAGTTTATGGGAATACCTATTCTCCTAATAGATGAGCTCAGCTAAGAATGAATAGATTTTTAAAAATGGTTTCTCCTAATTAATCTGAGTTGTGATACTATTTTTCTTCACCTTCAATTTAGGCAAACTTCAAACTGCAAATTGAAATGGCTGGGCTGCCACATACAACCACCTCGATGTGTCATAAGTCAGAGCATGCCAGGGTGCTTCTACAGAAACCTCTAATGTACTGTGTTCTGTATATACCGAGTGTGCTCAGGGGTGAGTATGTGTACATGTGTGTGTACAAACAATTTTAAAGAGATGACTCAAGGGGAAGGGTCAAAAAGAACCATGATATTAAGAATATAACACATGGCTGGCAATGTGCTGGGTGTTTTAAAAAAAATTTGTTATATTTTAGAGTTGTGGGGTACAGTGAGGATTTACTCATACATAAATTACGTGCAGGTGAGGTTTGGGCTTCTAGTGGGTCCTCTCGCCCCCTGAAAATGGACCTGGTACCCAGTGTATGGTTGTGTGCCTCTTGTCCCTCCTGTCTCCCTCCTTCTTTTAGCAGTGTCCTGTGCTGAGTGTCTCATGCATATTATTATGCTTGACTCTTGGACAGCCTTTGGCAGGTAGGTTTTATAGATCTCATATTCGAGACTAGAAACATTAGGTCTGGAGACCTTAGTAATTTGCTCAAGAACAAGCCCACCTCTAACATTTGAGAATTTTCAGACCTGGTGAGTGAACAAAACCAGTTTCAAAAGAAAAAAAAAATCCAGTTTCCCTACTAAGTGTCGACCCTGTTTCAAAAGATCATAACATGTGTTAAGTAAGTGCTAATGTAAAAGGGCATATGGCTCATACAAAAGGATAAGACCAAAACAAACTACAAGAAGAGCAGAAACAAGGCTATAGTTTCAAAATAAAATTCAAATGAAAAACATCGACTTAATGGCGTGAAAGACAACACATTACTGAACTGAAACTGGGAACATAAGCGTGACATCAATGGCTAGGTGGGGCTTCTTCTCAGCTTGACGTGATTGTAATTCAATCTCCCCTGCCTTTCTCAAGCTGAACTTACGTAAACCTTTCCTTCCTTCATGAACTTAATTCCCTAATATGTTGGCGTTGTATCGTTTGTATATTATGTCTACACTGCTCAGTTCTTACCAGTCCCATTCTACCAAATAGTCTGTTCATAAATGCAAATTCAGGCACTGACATTACAGTAAGTCCCCTACATACAAACAAGTTCCACTCTGAGAGTGCATTCATAAGTCCAATTTGTTCATGAAACCAACAAAGTTAACCTAGGTACCCAACAATTCACTAGACAGTACTGTGCCAGCTATATCTGGACATCCTTAGCTTGAAATAAAGATAAGGCACTACTGTACTCTACACAATACTGCACAGTAAAGTACACAGAGGCATAATCACTTGTAGAGGATGCACACACATGACAATGTACACCAGACACGTGAACTAACCTACATGATTGGACATGCGAATGCACATTTGCATCTCTGAAAACTCGTAGCTTGGATGTTTGTATGTAGGGGACTTACTGTGTCTGATAGTTTTAAATTCTATACTGAATCCAGACGATGTAGAATATTTTCAAGTTCAGTTTTAAAAGATCATTATTAAGACCCAAACTCCAAACCTGAAAATTCTTGCAATTTCCAGACCTCAAAGAAGTCCTCTGGGTTTATAGGCTCCCATGGGAAACACTGAAGCTTGTTCAGGAAACTGCAGACATCTGGGATCTGCATCACTTCCCAGGATCCAGGTGAGGACAACAACACAGGTTGCTGCAGAGACCAGTGATGTTCAGCGGGGAGGAAGGAGAGCACAGACCTGGGCAGCCACCAGGTTCACCCATGAGATAAACCCTCGCTCAGC